TGCGAGGCTATCAGATAGGTCAAACGACTCTTCTATATGCGGAGGTGTTGAGGAAAATCGGAAAACGCGATTATGCGAACAGCTCGAAGAGATATGCACGAAAAACTAATGATGGAGGAATGTCCTACCCGGGGATCGACCCGAGGACCTATGTAAAATTCATTGATTGAGTCCATGGACATGGACTCAGTGAGCTCCGCCCCTTCGTCACGAAGGCCTAGTTATTATTAATCCCACATGTCAAACCAAGACGGAGGGAGCTTACAATTTGTCAACCTCATCTCGTGTCTTCATCATCTCTTCCTCAACCCCCTCCAGCTCCTCACAACTCGCCTCAAGCTCCTTAAGGTGGCCTTCCATCTCCAATAACTGTACGAGATGGAGAGCAACAACGGGAAAAACAACTTCACCAATCATAGTGAGCGCTGAAAAATGGGAGTCTGTCCAATTCAGAGTAAAATATCAAGCCTCGACGCCGATGCGTGTCACCAGCGTGAGACTTTACCTGTGGACTCTCACGAGCCGTGATATGAAAAACATATTTCACGACTACTACATAGTGTGAATATCGCGTTTTTCACCGAGTTTTACGCCGCTTCACGTAAAACAGTGTTGGAGGAATATATGTTCGCTCTCCTCAGCTGATTTCAAAAGTTTTCTCACCAATTATAGGATTTCGGGTAGAAATGTACAGAAATCAACGAAAATTTCACAAAATTTCCTCATAATTTTCATATTGTCACCAACAACACATGTACTCAACCATATGCATATTTTCCCAGTAACACGAAGAAACTCACCTCTTTCTGAATTTCCTGTTTTTCCCTATTGTCACGCTCGGTCTGCGTCCCCAACACTTCCGCCTCCAATCGCATAGCATAGTGCTTGGACGCAAGCTGTGTGAGCCGACCTTGGACCTCCAACTGGGCAACACTATGTTCGGAAATTTCACAAAACTTCATGACGATTCCCAGCATCACAATTCACATGAAAAAACACCCTCGCAACTCTACCTTTTCGCGCTCTAATCTTGCATGCTCCATCTCCACTTCAAACGCCTCTTTAGTCACATCATCATCATCATCACCATCAGCGAAAGCCGCATGAAAAACCTAACAGGCAGGCACCTCAAGCAGGGGATCATCCAGGAACCTATAATGTTCCCGGGGGGAACTCATTTTTATTTTTCCACGTATGGCTAGTAACACATCCTTCAATCAGCGTTTCCTATGTGAATATCATCATCACATTACTAGTAGTAACATTATCGACCTCTAGGGAGCGTTAATTCTCAAAACTGCACGTAGGAAATCGACTGCGAAAACCGAAACAGACAGCCTTCACCCCAGCAGAGATATGCCCACCTGCTCCACCAACTGGCTTGCTTCACGACTCGCATGATCTATCTCGTTTCTTATCTGAACTAGAAACCTTTGAAATTGTCAGAAGCCTAACTCCTAAGATCCGATTTGGAATACATATTTCCGCTTTCCTCAGCTGAGCTCGGGAGTTTCCTCAGTAATTACGGAGGTTTACGTACGACCTCAGATAGAAAAAATACCAAAATTTCCCCAAATTTCTCTAACCATGTGCACATTATATCACACTAGTACGCGCGACCTCAGACGCCTACCTCCTGAGGGCTCGCTTTCCTCATCTCCTCGCGTAGTAGTCTCAAGTGCTGCTCTCTAGCTTCAAGATTGAGACGGAGATCCATTGCGCGCCTATGAAAACACACTGCGTGCCTTCGTACCATCCCAGGGCAGTATTGGGATGCTGAACTTGGGAGTTTCCTCACTAGTCTACAAGAATCAATGAGAATTCTCTCAAAATTTTCATACTGTCACCGACACATGCAGTTGATCATGCGCGTATTTTCTCACACCCTACTAAGACCATCCAGAATCAGCCCTCCCGGATCACCCTTGTCGACGCTGACTAAATTACGGACTTTTCTCCAGTCGAAAGTTGTGTTAGAAAATATTTTTGGTTTCCTCATTACATTATAGAAATTAACCAACGACTCGCCGTAGAACGGTACAAAACCAACAAGAGTTTCATCAAGAAAATTCACTCACGCACTTCCTCTCAGCCAAAGCCGCCTTCACCACACACAGAGTTCGTTCGAGGTCATCAGCCGTCACAGCTCCTCCAGAAACCTTCTCGCCTCCACCGACACGCATCTAACCAAAGTCTCTATGCTGGTGATGTCCTCACCACATGAGGTACATTATGGAGCAGCTCTAGTATTAACCTCTCCTTCCTTATGTTGGTTTTATCAGCATCGAAAATTTTCACGTTGAGCTCCTAAGACACTACTTCAACAGTGCGTGTCAAACCGATATGTACTCTCACCCGAATCCGCAGTTCAATCTGTCGCAACTCCCGTCTCAGCTTCCCTATACTTTCCACTAGACTCTCTCTATCTTGTAAACGCTCCCTCCCACTCAAGACCTATCACAAATCACAATTTCCCATCTGGCTGAATGCCCACCTTCGCAGTGACACTCTGTTGCCGCGATTGAGGTCGATCTGGTCTACCGGAGGGCCTCGCTCTAGGGATCTCCTTGGACGCGACTAAGCCAGAGTTTGCAGATGTTGTTAATCGTTGGGCAAGGCTATGGTTCTTGGGAGCGCGAGAGTCTGTCTACGGTGATATTCATAAAACCAACAAGTTGGAGCTAAAATTCCGAAACTTGTATATTCTCCACAACTACACATATACGCTCATGTGTTATCAGAAGTACTTTTGATATACTAAAGATATCTTTCTGCTGGCTTCTCACTCACTTAAGTGAAAAAGAAGTTACCAGTACTCAACCCCGCCGATCAGATGAAGCCATACGATATACCTCTCCGGACTAGTCTTGTCGCCGACAGCGCCGACTCAGGTCTCTTTGCTTGATCTCGAGCCGGAGACAAGCTCTTATCTGAATGTGAGGGTCCTCGATAAACATGCGCAGCATAGTTTACCTTTGCTATCGTCATCCCAGTCGTGTCCCATGCTTAACACAGCGTCTGCTATCCTGTTGATTTCCTTAGCTGATATCGGACGTTTTGGAGCAGTAGTTGTCATTATCTCGCGTCCCAGACTACCCATTGAGACCCCGTTAGTTGTTTGCGCCAGTACGACAATAGTCTGAGAAAACTCGGCCAGCACTCAACAACTTCTCTGAACAAGTTGATCATCTCATCAGAAGGCGAGCGGCTCATTCAGATACTCAAATGCTCATCCTACTGTCTTGTGCTCGTACACTTCATTTTAGTCAGATCAAAACTGAGTAACGGTGTTGTAAAATAGACAGCACACAATCTGACGCGGCGCCGTACATGTACTCGTGTGTAGTAGTATATTTTCACGTTTATTGATCCACTACGATACACAACTGCCGTCGACCTCAAGCACAAGTTTTCGCACTGTTCTCTTGGAGAATTACCACACCTCCTTCAACACAACTCCAATCAATAGGTATGCCCCTGAATGATGATGATAACGGTATTGATCATTTACGCCCATGCATGACGACGAGACTAGATAGTGATGACCGTCTTGAATTAGATCTTCAGCTTCTTCGCTGCCGTCGGCTTGCCCTCGTCCCCTATGTCAGGATGCCCGCCGTATCTCTCGAGACACCTGCACAAAACAATTACTCGAAATCATCGCCAAGTGCTGAGCTCAGGGAGCAATTCGCTCAACACACAAGTAGAAAATAACATAATTCGGCACATGTAGAAATGCAACAAGGCGAATACGCTCCTGCTAACATCACTGGGGTCTCACGAGCCGTGATATGAAAAACACTAGTGAAAACTATATATTTCACAACTACTGCATATCACCGCGAATATCGCGTAATACGCCACTTCGCGTAAAACAGGTGAAACTCCATTGTATACGACCCGACTAGTATTCACCTTTTCTTGGCTTCAGGGTGTTCACATTGCTGCCTTATCCACGGGTGACGGAGAATATCTTCTAAGCTCATTCTCTTCGATGGATCCTTTACCAGCATACCCTACAGCAGTCAACATAACACTTTCTATATACAGTAAACACTTTCTATATACAGTAAACACTTTCTATATCGCACTATGCGATAAACAGATGAATTCCCATGAGAGATCAACACCCCTCTGTTGAGGCTCGGGAAATAATCCTACCCGTATGAGGCTGATCGCCTGCCGACTGAGAAAGCTCGGGAACTTCACATCGACGTTCTTGATCTTCTGATATGTAGCTTTCTTAGACTCATCTTCAAAGGGCGGGGACCCAACCAGGAACTCATACCTGAACTTCATCCTAGAGCCGTACCACACTCTGCCATAATCAGCCAACCGGCCAAACTCAAATGCACAACCCTTATTACGCAAGTACGCCTAGTCCCCAAATGTCAACACCAAAGTCGTGTTTCTGTGAACCAACCATTTCTGGAGGCAAGTAGTCCTAAAGTATCACTACCGTAAAAATCACAACTCCACCACCACGGTGCTCTCACCAAAGTTCCACAGAAAGTCTCCCGTCTCGAATTGGGTGCATGAACTGACCAGCCAAAGTCGGCTATTTTCAGCGTATCATTAAGACCTACAACGCAGAGAAGAAAATCTTCGCTGTGCGCTGTGCTCACCGATGAGGATATTCTCCGGCTTGATATCTCTGTGAATTACATGCTTCTTATGACAGTATTGGATCGCCAACACCATTTGTCGCATATACCACGCACTTCTAGCCTCCGAAAAGCGAGTCTAAAATATACACCCCAGAAAAATCTTCGCTGTGCGCAAGATACTCCAAGATACCTTCTCCGTGAGCATCTTATACAGCTCTCCTCCAGGAGCCATTTCTAACATGAGATATACACACTTCTCATCCCAGAAGTAGTTGAACAACCTAAACCGTATCTTCCTTCATCAACCTAAAGATTCCCACTGACGTACCGTAGGATATTAACGTGACGTAGATGAGACTGAATCTCAATTTCCCTTCTAAGCTGATGCTCGACGCCGTGCTAAAACGATGCGCATCAATCTTGAATATGCCGGCTTCGGACTTGCCTTGATCAGCTGTTTTTTGTGAAGTACTTTCAAAGCGAAGACAAAGTGACTCCTCCTTTCCCTAAGAGAAGATCAGGTTAGACAACCGTCACGCGCCACAAAATTCACCTCGCCACATAGACATTGCCGAACTTCCCACTCCCGAGCTTCATTCCAATATCGATGTCATTACGCTGAAAGCAACGAAGGCCATCAGGAATCAGTAACAATACTCAAACGGTACGAGTCATACAACTCATAGCAAACACCCAGGTTCAATTCCCAGCGACTGCATATACACATTAACAACAACTCCCAGCCTACCGAGAAGATAGGCGCCTTCTCCATCACCAGAGCCTTATCAACTGGAGACACTCCATGACGATTCTCTGCATGCTGGTCGTTCTCTCGATCAGCCAGGATGTGATTGAACCCAGATGCCATTACTGAACACTAATGTTACTATAGCAAGCATGTCACATAGACGGCCAACAGAACTGCGACCTAGTACTAATCACAACGTGATCTGCGTAATAGAAGTCTCTATTGAAAGTGACTAAATTCAACTAGGCGATCTCGATGGTGAGTATAACAGGACACAGCAAGAACTCCATACAACCTCGAGCGCATGCGTGCAAACTCAATAAGGCCTACCAGTAAGAGCGCATGCGTGCAAATTCAATAACGCATGCCATTACGAACTCCTGTTGAAGCACACCTCCTATGAAATACTGAACAGAAGCGCAACTCGACACGAAGACTTTCAGTGTTGGAGAAACGCAGGGGGCCGGGATCGAACCTGCGACCAGCCGTTTCACACACGTCTCCAGTCGAGATTTCGGTAACCTCCTTCCATTGTATCTCAACTAAGCGCAAGCCTCCTAGCAGCTATATGTAAAACTACTCATTAAATCACGAGAGAACCTCCACGATCCAGGTCGACACAAATGCAGTTCCAAGAACAGTAAATAGCACAAAAAAACAAGTCAACTTCTTCCGCACACGAAACCGTCATCTCTTCAGCCACCTCTCTGTAAGACCCCGACCGAGATGACAGGTGGACGAGGTTTTCTTCTGTAGGTCCCTAACCTCATCAGCAAGCCTTCCAGCAGCTCACTGTCGATCTTCAACTCCTTTATTCGCCTCCTCAGCAGAGCTATTGGAAGCCCCCAATCACAACCCCGCCCGAGTCTGGCAGCGTCCACCAACACTTTTGTACACACGATTAGGTCGGTCTCGCGAGTAATGTAACCGATGTGAAACAGCGACTTCATTACAAGTGATCTCCCCAAGGTACTTATGAGCTCCTCATATTCCTTCTTGTCATCGACCTTTCCACAACGATCCAAGATAGAGTATAGCTTGGTGATATCACAGAATCCCAAATCACCGAGGAAATCTCGAACAGACTCTTTCTGTTTAAGAAGGGCTTCCAAACAGAAGCGTGCGCCCTTGTGGTGACTCAAACGTTCGAGGAAGATAACAAGCGCTTTAGGCGAGTCTATAGTCTCTTCCTCTTGCTGTTGATGTAGGAAGCGACACGTGTCACCATTCTTACACTCGCCCTTCACAAAGAAATGACAAACCGGCTTAGCAGCAACAACCTCCTCAGCATGAGAGAACTTACACGTGTCACCGTTGCGGCACCGACCACGAGCGTAGAAGTGACATGCTGGGTGCTTCTCATCAGAGTGCAGAAACTGACATTGTCTACCAAATCTGCAATGACCATGATCATAGAACTGACACCGAATCAAGGCCGCTCCTCGAAGTGGGTTGTGATAGTATCGACATGTCAAACCTCGTGGGCAACGAATACCATCCTCATGATAGCGGCAGGGTGGCGCCATCAGGCAAACAAGCAATTGTTCTACAAAACCTTCATAGCAGCTACACGCGATGAACTCCCAAATACGAGAGAGATAAGGCCTATCACCGATCGGAACCTGTCAAACGTTTCCGCCGCTAAAACTTCTTAGTGTTTCAACTATTGGGACTCGTGTCACCATCCCTACACTTACCCAGGGCTCTCAAAGAGGTAACAGACCGACTAAGCAGGTACCTGTCCGTTCTCTTCGGGAGAACGGACAACGCGAACCTCGTGGACACGGGAGACCATCCTCATCACAGCGGCAGAATGGCGTCGTCACGCAAACAAGCAATTGTTCTCCAACACATGCATAACAGCTACACATGATGAACTCCTTTGATCACAGCTGGCATTTCCTAAATTGCGGAGCGAGCGGAGCTTACGTTGTTGCACTTTTTGTTTTTAGTCACCCAATTTCCAAAATAATTTCAATAGCAGCCCGCTGAATTCTTGATAAGAAGCTCAGCGAGCTCCGCCCCTTCGCACCGAAGACCCAGAGGCCTATGACCAATAAGCATCACAGACAGGGCGGGCGATTGGACCTTCTCGAACGTTTCTGCCTCTGAGGCTCCCCACTGTTCCAACTACTGAGAGAGCAGAGCATCCCGACAACCCTTCATGAGCAATCCGCAACTCTGGCTCGCCTCCAACTACACACACTTCCTCCTCTTACCCAGATGATAGAATGATCAACACAGTAACTGTCTTGAGAGCTTCTCATATCAACACAGGAAGCCACTTGGCACTACTACTCTGTCAACAGCCAATTCGAACGAAGTTTACAAAAAACCAAAAAAACGAGTGGAGGAACACACGAAGTACACGGCCGTATTAGCTTGAAATGTACCAAGAGAGGGAATATTTGAACGTTTTAACCCACTTTCGGACGAACGATGATGTCGACATTCCTATTAAAAAGCGCAACTCCAAGTACTATAAGAAAATCACGACTGATCTATCAAAAGTCTCTAACCTCATTCCCCCTGGTTCGGCCACTGTGGAGTTGCATTTTCCCCCGCAAAGTCGGCAACAAAGCGGTTGCCACTTTCGATTCTGTAACTCCTTCCCCCTATAGATGCCCCACAATCCGGACATCTCGTTATTTGATTGGCACCACCACAGTCAGCGATGAAGTAAGGATGCCCGTTGGGACATGCGTACCAGTGCCCAGCAGCAGCCCCTAGCACTCCTCGTTCGCTCTGCATCGCCCTGTTGATCTCTTGACGATCTTGGAGAGTCAACTCCCTCGAGGCGGCTATGAACCTTTCCTTGACCCTAGCCACCAGCTCCAACTGGGCTTTGATGATGTTACCGTATCTGATAACGACTCGAATGAAGTACGGCGTGGAAAACTATGCACATGATCAACTACGTATGTTGGCTGCAATACGAAAATTCTGAGGAGATTTACGAAAATTCTTATACGTAAGCTTCTATTATCAAGGAAACTTCTGAGCTCAGCTGAGAAAAGTGAACATATAATTCAACATGAGTGAGCCCACTCAACGACGCTCACAAATGCATCTCAATCCTGACCTCTCTCGCAGTCTACCGACCCACCTTGGAGCGGTGAATATCGGCTCTCTGCATACCGGACACGCCCTCAGCTGAATGGCCTGGTGCTCTCCACGAGTAGGATTATACTTCATATATCTAAACACACATATAAAATTACAATCAACCAAAATCTTCGCGGTGCGAAGATACGCCGCAAGGCTACTTACTGGTCCAGACCGTCCAAGTAGAAGGTGTGACCGCATTCTGGTAGAGTGTAGACCCTACCCCCAGTCGCCACCGCCGAGCCAATGTCCTCAAAGGAGATACCACATGCCACATCATGGTAACAGACCGGGCACAGGGGACAGGGCTCACCACACAATCCCTGGCACGCATGCCCACACTCCAACTCCCGTTCACATGGATGATCGCATCTAGGACGGTCACAAGGCTGATAACACAGCTTCGTGCACTCGTAATGTGAGCACTTCCACAGGCACTTCTCTCGACAGGGCACGCAGAGCTCATTACAGGGCTTGCCACAGGTATACCCATGCAGACACTGGAGGCCACATTCCTCCCTACACAGACGCGTATGAGGTTGCCCACACTTCTCCTCACAGTAGTGACCACAAGCCAGCGTCTCCTCACAGGCTTCCTCACACTGGACCCCTTCATGGGAATGTGGAGGATAACACCTTTTCGGGCACACGTGACCACAGGTGAGCTCCTGTTCGCACCGTTGACCACATCTAGGAACATCATGGCACTTCTGAGTGACTTCATGACCACAAGCTTCAACTCGGACTTTCTTAGTGAACTCACAGAGCAGCTCCGTGACGGGCCTCTGAGACTTGAAGCAGGAGGTGGCCAAAGGATGCCCACATGGGAGCTCCACCGTCACCGCTCTATGGCATCTCAACTCGACCTCATCCTCGCGATAGTGACACCTCACATTCTTCGTGTGGCCACAGCTCAACCTCGCAAGCACCAGAGCCGAGCAAGGGGTCGGACAGGGGTCCTCTGGGGTCGAGCCGGCCCTAGTGCATTCCCAACAGAGATGGCTACATCTATGGCCACACCCTGCCGGCCTCGCCCTGTCACAAGGCTTATCACAGCAAACTTGAGCGTGGTCAAACACATGGCAGTTCAGCGGACACCTATGACCACAGCGGTCCAGCAAGCGACGGCAGGGGAGTCGACAGCCACCATCCTTTACATGCAGGAAATCCTCCGGCCTGGCAACTTGTTCAAACTGGTCTGGATGCACTCGACACTGCAGTGTCAACGCCGGTCCAATTCGCGCCTGAGCCCTCAGCCGAGCTACGATGACTTCCCAGTTGGCCTCGTTCTCGAACATCTCCGCGTTTCCCAGTATATACATACCCTCCTTTGCCCGTGACATAGCCACAATAACGCGGTTTTCAATGCCAGTGAAGCCCACCTTCCGGGCCTTATTAGACCTCACCAAAGAGAGTATAACAACCTTATTCTCCTCCCCTTGGTAGTCGTCAATGGTCACCACACGGGCGCCCGCCTTCACACCATCAGCGCTCCTCTTCAGATCTCCATCGAGGTAACTCCTAATGAGCCTCTTCTGCCCAATATACGGAGTGAGCAACGTGATATCCTCAGCGTTGTACTGCTGTGTTCGGACCAAGTACGACGCCAACCTTGCGGCAAACCTAGCCTCAAAGTCGTTGCGTTTCGAGGTCCCCTCAAAGGCTTGCTCCTTCTCCCGATGATCCACGAAATACACATCAGTCGCCACGCCTCCGACTCGGTCATAGCCCTTCACCCTGTCATGGTCCGTCAAGCCGTCCACGTAGAAGTGCTTCACCAACTGACTCACCTCTGGCCGCATTCTCAGCTGCGTGTTCAACCTTGCAAAGGGAACACCAACGTTGATAAGCCTTTCAAAGAGGGAGATGTCGAAATGATTCTTCTTGGTCAGGTCATAGACATTCACTTTCGGCCTCAACTGCTGATGGTCGCCAATCATAACCAAATGCTGCAAATTCGGCGACGACAAACTCGCGACGAGCTGACACTCCAAGAGCTCCCCCGCCTCCTCAATGACCACCACCCTCGGGCCCAGCCTATGCAGGAGGTCTCTATTCAACGCCGCGTACGTGCTGGTCATCCCAACGAGCTTAGCTCCCCGACACGCCCGTAGAGCCAGAGCCTTCCTCTGCTGTGCATACGACTTAGCCATATCCCGTCCGTCTGCATACAGCTGATGTAGTCTTGCCTTCATCGGGCCTTCCAGTGCCGCTCCTACAGCCTCCAAAACCCCTCTCTTATCACGACGACTCCCTCCACGAACAGCTTTCTTGCCAGCCTCATGCACACCATTATGGCACGCAGCAGCAACGATCTTAGCATTCAAAGACTCTTCCAATTTCGACCGTATCCGTCTCTGCAAAACCACAGCCATCGAGAAGTCGCTCCTCCACTCCTTACTGATCCTCACATTATCACAGTCGTCATACAGAGGCCGGTCCATCGCGCCCTCCTCTACTGGTGCCACCACCCCATCTTGCTCATCTTGCATTTCCTCAACGCCACCCAACTCATCGAACTGACGCTCTCCTTCAATCAACTGTATTCTATCCAGATCGATTTCCTCGCCTTCCTCGCCATCCCCGTCCTCCTCCTCCGGCTCCGGTATGGCATGCTCGAACAGCCTCCTCACCTCTTTGTCGGCACCAGTGACCATCATCTTCATCAATCCTCGACGAACCTCCTCTGGTAAAGACCCAAACGTACGTTGACGGGAGTACCCACCGGGAGCCCAAAAGCGATTAGCAGTTCTAACACGGCGACTGTGGTTGTCCATTTTGATTCCCCAACGTTGCATCAACTCCTTCTCTCGGTGGGCCAGATCTTCCTCCTCGTTCGAGAGCCACGCTCTCAACGCCATCAGCGCAAATTCAGCTGCGTGGAAACCCAATTTTGCAAAACTCGTTTTCCACCCTGGGGGCCTTAGGATCTTCCGGAATAGACTCAACGGTATATAGGCGAGAGCGCACAGCTGCTGGGCATCTCCTCCTTGGTAGAGGGCCACGACAGAATTCAAAGTCTGGCGAATGCCAAACAACTTGTCGCGGAATTTCTTCCGTTTTTGGTATTCATCTCGGGTCTCTTTAGACTTGAACCGAGGATGGCATCGCTGTAGCTCCTCATTCTCCGTCTGCGATCGGCCACCGAATCGCACTATCTTACCTTCCATGTAGGGCAGGAGGTCGACAAGGAACTGGTCTAAGGCATGGTTGGTGAGAGTCACCGCTAATATCGGCTCCTCGTAGTGCTTGAAGTCCAACACTCCCCTCGCGATTCGGGCAAACTTCACTCCAAGGTAGCTCTTGCCAGTACCGGGAGGACCTGAGATGACCGATCAAGAAGTAGAGCATCCAACACTCATCAGCTGCTCACCCTGCACAATCGCCACCGGAGTCTTCAGGATGTGTTTCAAGGCCTCCTGCTGAGCTGCATCCAACTCGATAGGCTTGCCAGTGAGCTTCGGCCAGGGCTTCAGCGGGTCACCCACGACCGTGCCCTCTCCAGCTCCCACGTACAGCGGTGACAGGTCCACCTTCGATCCCATCTGGTACGGCGGTGGATCGACACTGGGCTCAACCGTGCCGAGCACAGCAGGCAATAGAGGCATGCCACGCAGTAGATCCTCATTGCGCAAGAAGTCGAATACGGGGCGCTTGGCCATGAAGTAGTCGGGGCTCTCCAGCATGCAGTATTCGGCGTCAAACTGGAAACGGCGAAAATTGTCATCGTCGAAGGACAGACCAACCGTGCCGCTATTAGAGCGCATACCACCTGTTCGGCGTAGGTCGAAGTTCTCGACAGTAGCATATACCAACGACTCCGAGTCAGGCTCGCCAAAGGGGGTGCCGGTAGACGTCCTGAAGAGGACCACCAGAGAGCCGTAGATGAGATGACTGCCAAGAGTGAAGTCGACTGGTCGAGGGCAGACGAAGCGGACTTGGATGAAGGCCTCAGTGGTACCAGACACCCCGAACGGCTGCCTTAACGCCGTCACATGACTGTAGCACATCGCCTTTGGAGGAATACCAGAATCAGTCACCAAACCTAAAGAGTGGACCAAGGCCTCCTTCAGCGGCACCAGAAACTCCTGTCGCAAACAGTAGTAGTGAGTAGCTCTGTACAAGAGCACTTCAGCTGGGCTAGAAGACCCCCATTTTTCTGCCTCGCGGTTCTTCAGCTTCCTCAGAGCCTCCAACTGCCCCCCGTCATCAGTGATCTCGGCCAGAGATGGCATGAGACGCTCTTCCATCATAAGCGCCTCGTAGAGCTCCTCCTCATCCGAATTCAGCTCGGCTGGGTGCCTGCGGTCACGACTCGCCTTGAAATTCCTCAACGCCCCACCGCTCTTATAAAATTGAATTTGCCTCAGATGAACCTCAGTAAGCTCCTCTGTGCAAGCCAGGACCTCAGCGCGGCTCGCCAACAACTCTACCGGGATTAGCGCTGCTGCCACCGGGTCGACCCTCCCCACCTCCACCAGCACGCGCATACAGCTGACCAACCCTATTGGTGACATAAGCTGGCTCACAAACGGCGGTATTGACATAATCACATTAGCGCTCAGGCTTCTTATGACTTCTTCGTACGCGCCTTTGTCGAATGCAACAGCGCATCTGCCCAATACTTCAAATAAAATCCGCAGTTCCGCATGGGCAAGTTCACGAATGAAAGTATTGAGCTTGTCTCGGAGATCATGGACCTTTCCCAGCACCACATCGGTGTTCTTATGCTTGTTTATGCTCCTCAAGAAGCGATTGGCGTCGGTCAAGGAGTTGATGACATCTTTCTCGGGAACAGGCTTACTCTCCTTCGACGGCTCGTGAGAGAAGCGACAGGACTCCCCATTGCGGCAGTTGCCTCGGCCGTAGAAGTGACATGATGGCGCCATCGACAGAGCTGACAAGTCCGCTGAGCCTTCCTTTATTGATTAGGTTCGAGTACCCAGACGTATTGAATGCAAGTGACGTCGCCATTTCTTGACCACAATTTGCACGCATGCACGAATCGCATACTAATCGAAACCTCTACCCGTCTATCACTAGCTCTACTCCCCAATGAAGTTATTCGATCCTGTCGAACCGATCATCCCCGAAATTAAGTAGGATTAGCTCGACACAACATGCTTAAGAAATTGGTTCAGCTTTTGGGGTCGACCACCCATACTTTAGCATACTTTTACCATAGAATCGATCGGAATACATCATTAAACTCATCCTCAAAGCAGCCCTACTGGTCCAAGCGACCTCCACCTACTGATGATATTCCTACCGAGGCGGGACGGTGCCAAGAGTCCCCCAACACAGCATCGACTCAACTCTGTCGTTGGCCATTGAATAGGGTGGGCAGAGTAGCTCGGTGGCGACTCGAGTAAATGTAGCTCAGCAGGGGATACTACTCTGAGGGAGGAGTGAAATCAGGTGGTCCGTATGCGGTACGGCATAGCGGCCCCACCCAGACGAATCCATTGTACTGAGGGGGTGTGGCATAGCTGCCCCGTTCACAGGAACTGACTGCATATCTTTGGGGTTGTGGCATAGCCACCCCACTCAGAGGAATCCATTGTACTAAGGCACATCTTGGGGTTGTGGCATGGCCACCCCACTCCGAGGAATCCATTGTACTAAGGCATATCTCGGAGCTGTGGCATAGCCGACCCAACTGAAGTGATCGATTAAAGCACCCAACACTACCTCCTCCCACCGTATTATTAATTAACAAATATACCAACACCACAATACGATGACGACGATGATAGCAGCAGCAGCCATCATCAACACGATGCAGGGACTGTTAGTGATGACAGTCAAATAGCATGCTAAGGGGGAGGGGACACATTGAGACTGTAAGTGATAATGATGCTAACCAACACCACTCCGTTGGATACATCATTTCCCACCTTGTCTTCACCGTATGTGGCAAGGCTCAGTAGTACTTCTAAGTATATTGTTCAAGCGTATATCGTAATCCCACTACTGATGCAAGCTTGTATTCTGTACTAACCTTCTATTTCCCTATGGCCGACTCCGCCTTGTGCACCTCTAAATGACCGAACTCTAGTTGATCTATCTACATAACTGTCTCAGTCAATATACTAAACCAGAACCTTCTAGAACGACAAGCCCTCTGAAACAATGAGGCTCCTCAGAGGATTTGATACACTGGAGCGCGAGCGGTGTTCCCGAGAGATAATATCAGTTTACTAAACTGAATGAGTAGAAAACTGTCTCAATGTACTCTCCCCTATCATCCCACCTCGCATAAATGAATCAAGCTACTCAGGAACAATCCATTACTATCGTGTAGTCGACAATGCATCTCTCTGAGTCAGCTTCACATGGCTTCGTCTACTCATAAGCCACTATTGCTACTCCACTGCCGCCCTCCTCTCCGATAATATACAACAAGGATCTTCAAATCAGCGGCGATGGCCTCTGGAAACAACAGATCCCCGATATTCCTGTGCCGAGTCTCGCAGGCTGCGAGTGGCAGCAATCAGGGACGCCTATCACAACGACGATACCGGTTTGAGATGCCAGGACAAGGTCCGGCAGCAGACCTATGAGCTCCCACCAGCCATCTACTCTAAGCTGGCATCAATCGCCCATCCTCACGTATATTGAATACTTGAACGACTCTATTGTGTTTAACCGACATAGCCACAGGAAGTTGACCATTTGCCGTGTCCTTTCTCTTTCGGCGCCTCTCGACTCAAGTTCGGGTACTTGCCTTGGATGTCCCTGAGATTGAATGGTCCGAGATGACCATCATTCGGGGTCCTACCGTATGTTAGCAGGTTGTGTTCGCACATCAGAGTATCCGCTGAAGCACCATGGATGATACCTGCCCACTCTGACATCGCCAAACAGCTGTCAACTAGGGGGTACATGAAACGCAGTTTCCGTCCGTCTCTGCAGACAAGCGGAGTGCCTTTAACTATAGCTCCTTTGCATTCTCTGCAACTCCATCCGTTGCGACATGCCACACCTGTTGATATCGTCCAGTACTCGTCAGTATCGTTTTGAGATGCCATTCTGAGTCGTATCAATTCATCAGCTGGAGACAGTTGTCGGGCCAAACGTGTCTACGTTTCCTATTCAATTTGATTCCCACTTACTATTACTTTATTCCCACGTTTACTATTCCCACTTCTTTGAAAAATGCATTCTTTAGATATCTATCGGCTGTTTATGATGAATCAAAGTTCTGATGAAATAGCTGGACAATATCAAAACTCAGTACACAGGTTAATTGCGAAATCCAAAGAAGGACGAGATCCAGAAATAAATTCGCTTCGTATAACACCCTTACATCAACCCGAGCATCCGGTCGATCCGTCGAGTTTCAAACAGGTGTTGTCTGGCTCGATCTGGTTTTCACCTTGGATTTTCTACTTTACCACAAGAAACACACCGACTACTATCAATGATGTAAGTTTTGACAACACCAAAGAGGATGTACTGGTGTAGGGAGATCATCAGAGTTGGGCCAATTTATAAGCCATTTCCCAAGAGAAATTGAAGAAGAATCCATCGCTCACTCGCAACATTGGCGATAAATTGTTATCGATCAGTTGGGCGTGCGCTACTTTAACCGCTTATTCTGTCGCCTGAGATGAAACTCTTCATTTTTCAGCGGAAGTCGCTAGAAGGATACGTTAGAAGATTTCGGCCGGTGCACTAGAGTAGAAAAACGAAATCATATATTCTTCGTTATTAAGAAAAGTCTCAATCTGACCTTAGCGGGACTGGGCGTCTCTCGATCTGGACTTCAGACATCCTTGTGTGTTCACCCCAGTCCAAGGACTAATGCTTCTCGGTCGCAACTTTCGACGCACTGAGGTTCACCATAACAACAACAACACTACTTCTTCCAGTAAAACTTCAAGTGAAGAAAACGAAACCATTGCCGGCTCCGGTGAGAACAGCTCGATACGTTTCTGCTGCTATTCGAATGGTGTGTCTCGTCTTGCGGACTCAATGCAGATCTAAGTTCACCCAAATCAGAGGCCTCACCGGTGCGCTCCCGTCAAGCCGCCCATCGCCACCTCCGCAGTAGTCCCTACTCAGTAGACTACGTCCAGACTGCTAACGTCTCTGAGGGTCGCCATGGTCGGGAAATGGGCGGCCAGATCAAACTACTGACCAACGTCGTGAGTATCAACTACTCTTCGTCGCATTCACTTGACATTCGCATAGCAGGTTGGATCAGTGGTGCGTGCGCCAGCGCAGCCACTCGCCGTCTCTAAGGGGGGAATGTTGACCCAACGCTTCCCAGAGATAGTCTCAATGACTTCTCCTATTTCAGCCTACTTGGTCTTTTCGCTTTCCTGCGGCGATGTCGAAGTAAGTCCTCTCAAACTCGATACGGTCCATCGTGGACGCTTGAGCGCTCAGATAAGTACACTGCACAAATTCGCCGACTTATCGTCGTTGGACACTCTCCTTGGCGACGCCGACACCAACGATTCTGACCTAATGCGACTGCTAGAGACTGACCTGGCATTCGTCCTTCAACCAGCGGGTTCAGCTTTGAGACACTTGCCTGTGAAGGGCCCTAAGGATGCTGATCCAGTCGCTAAGGCGTTTGGTAAGGAAGCTTGCTCGATGCGAAAGTAGGGCTAGTCTTGACAGCTGAGTACCACAACGAATATCGCAGGTACACTCATCCCGTTAGCGGAGCGAAGGTCGTTGATTTATGTATTGATATATTCAGCATGCGTATCGTTAAGTACCTATTCTCAAAGTTGGCGTTTTCTAAGGGACGCCAGACTGATATTTTCGTCACCGATTTCACTAAGCGAACGTGCCTATGTGCCTTTCGTCTCGAGGCCACTGACTCTCTACTTACGGTCGCATCGAGTTAGCATAATTCGCTGTTTTCGTTGATATGTAGCATTGAGTTGCATATATTGATGATTATTGCCCATACCACTCCTTTCGCACATCTCAACCCAAGTGCTGTATTATCCGACGTCTGATCTCGCAATTAGTGTATCGTTCATCTCAGCGTCCATACATGTACTGAATACATTTAAGCCGTCAGTGGTTCGATAAGCCCTGGCGCGTCGACTCTCATGACTCTTGCGTTTATAGTCGCCAAGTGCTAACCTTCTGATGGGGACTGTGTTGAAGGGGGAGTGGTAGCTAATTAATTGATTATTTGATCGCTGTTCATCACGATTGTCCTTTCTCGGTAAGAGTTATTATTTTGCGTCAATCGGCTCGTCTGGTTGGAGTGAACTTCTAGCTTCGTTGTTCATGCTAAATACTAAGTATTTCGTTCGCCTGGCGTCGGCCACTTCGAGTAAGCTTGCGGGCTCTCGTGAACTACACAAACTACTAGGAATGTGCACTGACACTGTATTGTCCGACCATGAGCGGCCCTTCGAGGGTAACCTCATCTGGTCACGTCATGGTTACGATATGCAACACGAAAAGGTTGACTTCACGCTGGCTCCAGAGCACTTCGTTGTTCGAGAAATACCACTGGAAAGCAACGGCACACCGATCGAGCTGGAAAAAAATCTTTGCGAGTATATTTTACCACATAGTTTGGGACATGAAGTTAACTCGGCGCCCTATGTGCGACTAACTTTACACAAGACGAAGATTGAAACGGATACTTGTATTAGAATCATGTCAGAAGTCGCCAAATGCGATCCAGCAGTGATCACCTATGCTGGTCGCAAGGACAAAGGCGCTGACACTATGCAGTATATAACACTACCACAAGTTCACTTTCAGAATTTGTTTTTCGCATCAAGACGAGGAGAAGCTCTTCCGTTTGAACTAGGAGATCCAGTGGGAGTACGAGCGCCTCTCACATGGGGAGCGTTAGAAGGCAATCACTTCAAGTTGACATTTGTAGGACAGCCGAGGATTGTCGGCAACTCTAAACACGATGAGGTTCTCACCAAGATCAGAGACTCGGGTTTCGTCAATTTTTTTGGTTTGCAACGCTTTGGTGCTCCTCGTTTTAACTCTCCTGTAGTCGGTCGCTACTTGGAAAACGGGGAGCCGCTTGAAGCTGTTGTTGCGATGCTTATCGGCCTCTGCCCTAAAGGCCGTGAATGGACTGCACTTAAGCTCACCAACGGTGCCATTCGTAGTGTTTATGAATCTCTGAGTAGTGGTTATGAAGGTCACGAAATGCGACTGCTTCTCGCGAGAGCTGCAAAGCAAGAGGACGTCGACTGGCAAAGGGCGATCAGCCCTCGGCAATGGTCAACTTACGTTCACGCTTGGCACAGCCTTCTGTGGAACTACATGGTCCAGTTCAGAGTGAATGAGTTCGGCACCAACCCTATCGAGGGAGATATGGTTATCAACGGTCCTGGTGGATCTGTCCATCACTTTCCCCCCTACATTTGGGATGGACAGAAGCAGAGCTCAGTCGCTTGTCATGTGTGTCTCCCACTGCCGGTGAACAGTTGCTTGAAACCTGAGAATAAGACCGGCGAGTTTCTTGATAAACTCATGAGGGAATTCAACATTTCCTCTTCTAACGGTAAAGGCAACTCAGCAAAAGAGGCTAGGGAGGTTCTTGTTCGACCCACTGGCTTGAAATGGACAAGGCCGCAGAAAGACGCTCTCGAAGTCAGCTTTTCCCTACCACCTGGGTGCTTCGCCACAGCTCTCGTACGTGAATGGTTGGGCCATAATTTCTATCAGCCATCCGTGGGGCATGACGGTCTACTACTGCCTAGTGAATGCGAAGAGGAGCTGAGACGTATATGGAGAAAGATAGCATATATCACTGATGAGATCGTATGATGATCATCATTTTGTTTCTGTGCTTGCTCTTTGTTGTTGTGTGTTAGTGAGCAAAACTCAGCGCCAGTATCGCTCGGGTCTATTCACAGCTGTACGTATTCATGTATATTGGAAATTGTATAGCCATGGCTCTATTAGTATGTGTGCAACATCCCTACATGGTGTCGTTGTCAACCGCAACGGTTGCCCCTTGGTTCACGAATAGACGATCGAGTTCTTATCTTTGGTTAAGCTATATCTGTCCAGTCTTGGAGGAGTTGTGTTATCATGTTGGAATACGAGGCTGGTTATGGTGACGACTTCCTTGCCGAGTCCTCTGCATACGGTGGAGCATCTCAGCAGACGTCAATGACACTCTTCATGACCAAGTGATTGTGTCGCTGTCCCCTTCTTACACTAATTTGTTTATCTCTTAGACTTGTTCTCCTATCCTATAGTGTCACGCTAGATATGAGGTTCATCAGTGTTGGAGGAATATATGTTCGCTTTCCTCATCGCAGTTTGAGAATTCCATTCATAATTATAAAAAATTTTTCACCAATCACAGAAAAGAAATTTCCCGAAATTTCCTCAGAATTTTCCACTATTGTCACCAACACATGTAGTTGAGCATTTCCATATTTTCTTCAATGCTGTCTGGAGATGTCTTGGAAAGTTTATCAGTTTTAGCAGCAATACTGGTGAAAGTTCTTGTGCTTGCGTGCCACAACACTCCTTGCGCATGCGTGCTGGTCTACTCCGTGAACTTCATCATTTCCACTACGGTATAATCGTCGTTATTTCATCATACACTCCCAGGGCGGTGTAATTTACATATGTGTTGGTGACAATATCAAAACTATGAGGAAATTTCTCTACACTTTTCTCTTCCGATTCGTGTATAAACTCCCGTGATTAGTGAGGTAATTTTCGACCTCAGCTGAGGAAAGTGCGAAAATATTTTGCAGCATTTATGGCCGGCGCCGCGGCCTCCTATGAAACGAGGCATTACGCAACCCAGCCGACCAAGCGAGAGCTGCGAGATCTTGCCGGAGGAAACGTTATAGTAGCAGACATACTCAATAGAATCCAATACGATTTCGAAACTGGAAGCGCGGCATTTGGGAAGATTCGCAAAGAGCTCACCGTAGATCAACAGCAGAGTCGTTTCACTGTAAGGGAGTGCGGAAAAAATGCACATTGTCAACTACATATGTTGGTGCTAAAATGGAAATTCTGAGAGGAAATTTCGGGAAATACTCAACTACTTTTCACTCGGATTTGTATATTAACTTCTATAAATAGTGAGGAAACTTCTAATATCAGTTGAGGAAAGCAAACGCATATACTCCTACACTGCTCGACTATGCACTGAATCGATCGATATTATTGTGTCTATCTACCACCTGCAGAGATTAACTTAGTGTAGAAATCAAAAATATGGAGCGTGTACCTGTGGAGGTGGTAGGTAGAAACATCAATCGAATATTCATAATAGGTGCTAATGGACAATCCTCGAAAGAAGAAGTTGTGTTGGTATTGGACTTGGGGGAAGCCCTGTCTTTACGGCGGTCACTGCAAGTAACAGTGTGGAGGAATATATGCGCATGTTTTGGTAAAAAATTTTTTTCTGTGGAAAAGAATTTCCTAAAATTTTGGGCAAATTCTTATTGTTTTCTATACCGATTTTTCACGTGAACTTCCATAGTTAGTGAAAAAACTTTTGAGCTCAGCTAAGAAAAGCAAACATATATTCGAGAACCCTGCAGCGCTGTTGTATATTTCTAACTACACTCTGGAATTCGTAGTCTCGAATTTTCTCTATGGTTAAAGTAGATACGATCACTCCAAGTTGCGATTGGAAATAATGTCCCACGCAGCCGTACTTCCAAAGAGTGGCGGATCGATGACAGCTCTTGAGAGGTTTATGCAACCGCTCCAGCGTCAATTAATTTACTCTTACTAGGCACCCTATAGAGGACTACCTCAATGCTGATGTTGCTGATCTGTCTTCCATTAGTTTTGTGGAATACGATAAGAAAATCGTGTGGGCGCGTGATGGTGGTAATGCATGTGTGGGAAAACATACACATATGATGATAAAAGTTATGAGAGAAATTTTGGAAATTTTCATTGCTTTCTGTACATTTCTACCCAAATTCGTATACACAAACTCCTATAATTAGTGAGGAAACTCCTACGCTCAGCTGAGGAAAGCGAACATATATTCCTCCAAAACTGGAGTTTCACCCGTGAAGTGACGTAAAACTCGGTAAAAAACGCGATATTCGCGGTAATATGCAGTAGTCGTGAAATGTATTATCACTAGGGTGGTGAAACTCCACTGATTTCAGGCGAGTCCAGCGCCGCGTTATGGAACCACTTCGCTGCCTTGTTCACGTCTCGTCGAGAGCGGCGATTAAAAAGGAGTCTTATGGGAGCATCCAATGGATGTAATATCTCCCGAAGAACTGATCGTAGCTGTAGTCAGTACTGTAAACCATAATTCCGTCTGAAGATGATATTGGTTTTATAACGACGAATAAACAGTGTTGGAAAATATGCACATGGTCAACTACGTGTGTTGGTGACAATGAGGAACTCTACTTCGAGGTCGATTCTCGTTAAAGTTTCACGATCCGTTTTACGCGAAGTGGCGTAAAACTCTGTGAAAAACGCGACATTCGCGGTGAAATGCAGTAGTCGTGAAATATGTTTTTCACTAGTGTTTTTCATATCACTAAGGTGAAACTCCATTAATTTCGGAAAATTCCGCATATTTTTTTCTCATTTGCATATCCAAATTTATACTGATTCTATTCTGCCCTCACCATAGGTCTCCCATCCCCCTCTAGTCGATCTCACCCGAGCAGTGCCAACGCCCCCACTTCCCAGATTGTCACTAACCTCGAGCGTGCTATGGCTGATATGTGCCCTGACACTTGGGTGGCCATAATGGCCTTCCTCACCCCTGTAGAGGCTCTTCACACTGCTGTTGCCCTGGCAAGCTCTAAGTAGGCGTCTTAGCATCATAATGGAGTTTCATATATTCAATTCCGAGTGAAATATCAAACTTCGACGCCAATGCGTGTCACCAGGGTGAGACTTTATCTGTGGAGTTTCACGAGCCGTGATATGAAAAACACTGGTGAAAAATATATTTCACGACTACTGCATATCACCGCGAATATCATCGCGTTTTCACAGAGTATTACCCCACTTTGCGTATGACGACATCTTTTAGATATCAAATTCAGCGAATAGAAAAATTTTAATTTGACTTCCATAATATCAAAAAGAGTTTTCACTTTCACGGAATGAAAGTTAAAATTCGAAATGGAAGTTCGTTTTTCGTAGACCACTCGGAAATGCAAGTTTGAATTCGTAAACCCTATTTACGAATTCGAAAAAAACAAGACTAATTTCGATCAACGAAATTTCACCTTAATTCTATTAGAAAACTTGTTTAATCGCCTACGCGCCACATAAGCTTTCGGTGCTGGTCGTAGCTACGTTATTGTCATTGACATAGGAATCTGCGGTTAGGTATACGGGGGTTGAGACCTGTAACGGAGCAGTGAATGCATCAACGGGAGGTAGGCTCCTTGTGGTCGTCTAGTTGCCGATGTGTCTAAGGGCATTTTTATCATAAATTTTCACGCCTACACACATAGTTGACCATGATCATATTTTCACGTTGAACGGGTGAAAACTTCATTGTTGTTGTTATTACCTTTCCCGATACATCACCTTATTAGGCTTGTTGGATCCTCGAGTGCTGACGAGTATGATAGAAAACTTCTGGCCTCCAGCCGCTCTGTTGCAGAGAAATCATCAAAAAGGAACTGCAATTTCGTCGCTATCCCCAGAGCTAATACGAGTAAGTAAATGCTTCCCTCCTTGAAAGTGAACTGTGTTATGCTTTTGTTTTCTGTTCTAGTTCAGAGATCTCACGAACGCTACTGTTTACGCCTATGCTGTGACTATAGGAGCTTTCGCAGAGTACCACAAGGTCTTCAGGAAATTCTCGGGTGAGTCTACTGCTGAAAATTACGGTATCTTACGCACAGCGAAGATTTTGAAGGATTTCATTTCATAATGGAATTGCATCGACATATTTTCTGTGATTTCAGCGGATTCCTCCTCGGCAGAGGCGGCTGAGGAGCCCTCCCGGCACGAGCGGTCATCTGAGGGTCTTGTCGCTCTTGATGCGGCCACTGGTCAATCTCGACCGACGAAAACTATGTGTATCAATCTAGGAAAGAGTGCAAGTTTCGAAAGGTAACAACATGTGCTGTTGTTATTGCTGTGAGTATTTCTTCAGTCCATCGAGTGAAGGCATTGGTTGCATTCGTCATAGTCGATCTATAGTAGCATGTACGGTTGGCAACTCTGAAATATTTGTCTTTCAACTGGATGGAGGTAACACAAGATCATTTATGAATTCGCCATTTGCTCGGCGTGTTGGCTGTCAAGACGGCTCTTATTTTTCATTCCTAGTAATAGGTCGCCTCCTTACAGTGTGAACGCAAACGACAAATATTCATCTCGAGATTGTGGTTGCTCTAAAGCGGTTTCAATGGTTTCTCGCGGTGTTGGAAAATATGTATGCTTTCTCCACCTGAACTCGAGAGTTTTCTCACTATATTATCGAAATTAGTACCCGATGTAGGGTGAAAATGTGGAAGATCCGAGAAGCACTCCCAAAAAGTTTCTCAGAGTCTTCTTATTGTCACCAACATTTTAGTACATATTTTCGCGTTATTTCCGATAGATTTGTTATTTTTTTCGTATTCTCAATCGTTATCAGGTAAGCGTGCCGCATCGACGTCAAAGCCTTGCAAACGGCAGTGTGAGCTCCTGGACATTCCTCCGATGAACTCATCATCAGCCCAGGACTTGCTCATTCACGCTGGTGAGTCGTCCCCTCTGCGAGTTCACCTCTCCTGGGTGGAAAAATATGCACATGGTCAACTACATACAGTGTATTCGATTTTAATCGTCCGAAACGGGAAGATGTTGTCACTCCGTTAACTCGACGATTATGCTGTTGACAATATAGGACATTCTGGGAAATTCCGGTACCCGAAGTCGTATGTAAACTTGTATAAGTAGTGAGGCAACTCCCGAGCTGAGCGAACATATATTCCTCCAACACCTCTACCGCTCAGGCGATGGTGTACTCTATTGGCGAGATCTCCACGATCCGAATCTGGGGATACTGGGCCGAGTCCCTCTCGGTCGCGCTGAGCATAGGGTACGTGTCAGCTCTCGTTGGTGTTCGAGTGAGACTCGTTTGATCACAGGAGGGCTCTTGGCTGGCGGGCCTGTCAATGGACATACCGAATCGTCAAGTCACGGTTGGTCGGAGCCCTGACCTGCCCATGGGGTACAGCCCATGTGTGGGCAGTATCGACATCTTTGATCTCGAGACGAGGGAGGTGATGCCCCAGAGGGCCTGGAGGGTATCTGACGATGAGGAGTTGTTCTCAGTTGGTGACTTCATGGGACCTCCCATGGGAGACCGGAGGGCTTGTTGCCCTCGACAGAGTGGATAACCCTGCGTATGTGGTTGCCTCTACGGAGAACTCTGTAGTCAGTGCCTGGGATGCGAGAATAGGAGGTGCTGGGAATCGAACCGGGGTCGTCCGTATCTTACACACGTCAGGGCGAGGTATAACGGTCGGTGAGCTCCTGGCTCCTCCAATGCCAAGAGCAATCGCCCAGAGGGGTCACCTAGTCGCTGTGGGGACCGCCTCAGCCGGAGCTGTCCTATTCGACGTCAGGAAGCCCGGCAGGGCCCTAGGTGAGCATCCTCCTCCTCTTCACGGTGTCCTATGGGGCTCCTCAGTGTCGGGGGTGGGTGGCCCTGGACTGCCCTGCTCCCACGTTGCTTTCTCGGCATCTACCTTCACCGCTTGGACCTCCACTAGCGAGGCTAATCTTGTAAGGGGTTGCTTGGTGTAGAGTGCCGTGCAGTGAGGTTGTCAGGCTTCGGTGTACGACTTGTCGCCAGCGCTCGTGCCCATCGTCGAGTTGGCGGAGTTACAACAAGAAGTGACTGCAGTGAGCCAACCAGCGAGGAGATCAGCCGCGGAAGAGTTCCCCTCGGTATGGTATGGATGGTGACTCGAGATGCTTTGGTGATTTTCCTCAGATGCCGGCGCCGAGTGGATCTCCTGTACTTTGCGTGCTTGGGGTGAGACGGCCGAAACATAGTGGGAAGGGCGGGATGAAACATGACTTGTGTATAGTGACAGATGTCAGTGATGAAAGCGTTGCTGATGGAAAACGAGAGATTAATGTTGGTGAGATCAGATTACCCTTCTGAGCCACATCATGACGAGTTCAGATGCATTATGTCCCGACAAGCCTCATTCTCCTCGTCATCATTCGATGCACGGAGATGGTTACACTCCTGGCCGTGTTAGAGGGGGGAGGCGAAGCGGCGCTCACACTGCGCATTATCGACAGACGAGATAATATTGCTCATGCTATATCCACTGCTTGCATTATTTTGGTACATTGGTTTCAACCGTCGTTTCTGAAGAGTAAATCAATGTCGTGTACCATAGTGAAGATAGTGTCTGAGAATTTACCCTTGCAGAAGGGAAGAGTTCTTCCAAGAGGCAGTCTCGGTCGGCTCTATCTGCCACTATAACAACAGACGAATTAAGCAGATAACTCGACACAGAGCCGATATACATTGGCTAGTATATCGAAGTAGCATCGTATGATAACCATGATGGAAATAATTTCCAAGTAAATACACTTCGGCATTTCTTTATTATGAAATAATCGTGTTAAACAGCAGTTACTTGATTTATTGCATTATTTTGCGTCGTTTTTCGCGTTATTTTGAATCACTTGGAATGATGAGGTCTAACAGATCTACTGCCAAACTAACCCAACACACACGTCAGAGAGGAAACTACTGACATCACCTGTCGCCGACAAAAAAAGGAAGAGCATTCATACAGCATTTTGAGAACAGAGAATTTCCACGTCATATTGGCGTGAGAAGGAAGATCAGATGAGAGGAAATCTGATTGTCACATCCAACTTTTCAAAAACCGAACCAACTAAAGAAACCACCACCAGGGGCCGCGGTCGTATTGGTCATGTTGGTGGGAACCTCCATGGTCCAGATAGGAACACCAGTTTTGGTGACAACAGCTGGACCTACAGTGGGCTCAACCTCGACGGTCGAGAACGTAGTGCCTGGCGCCGTCGTAGGCTGGCCTTGTCCTCCGAATCCTGGCATAGTCTGTGGAGTGGTCGTGTTGTATTCAGGAAGAGGCATAGTAGAGGGCTTGCTAGGGGCGATAGTAGGCTGAACCGGACCGACGGTGAAATGACACTCAAATGGTTCACCAACACAGTTGGGGTCAGACTGATAGCATAGACTGCCATCATACATCTTCAGTATACCGAAGCATACCGGAGGATCCTGCCACGACTTGCAATAAGAACCCCAGGCAGAATCCTTGCAACCAACGAGGCGGTCACAGACATCTTGACACGTGGTGAGGGGATACTCAGTACACTTCACGGGCTCCAGAGAGGTATCATCACAACCATCAGCACCTCCTGGCTGATAGCAGTAGGCGTTGCCTTTATGGTAGAGACCGAAGCACAGCCCGTTGTTTTTGCAGTAGGATTGATCACAACCTAGCGTCTGGTTGCATGCCATGCTGCACATATCCGTACCACCATCCTCGGAAGCAACAGCACTGAAAGACTTGCCGCTAAAGCCAAGAGTCGTGGCCAAGAGTGAACTAGTTAGAATCGCACGCATGAAAAAGAACAACTGCAGGACCACTTTCTGATATACTCATAGCCACGTTGTCATCCACTAAATTTCGAAATTCTGAAACGCCTAATATCGATCGTATCATTGTGATGGATAGGCTCACGCTATTGGAGTGGTCGCGCCATAATCACAATAATGGAGCTCCAGAAAATCGAAGCACTATACTTGCGCTGACACACATTTCGCGCTAGTAACAAAAACATACATTCATAATGGTGAAAATAGTCGACCTACCATTGCCTGGCTGTGGATCGCCGATTGCGAACGCTATCACAAAGAAGTTCCAAGTATCGACAAGGCCGCTGATCGTCTTCCACGAACGCTGTTAGAAAGGAATTTCCCTGATTTGTAAGGAAATTTCATTTGCAAGTTGTTATTAGAATACATCTTCCCGCGAGACACTCACTGTATGAAATGTCTACTTCGCGCGCTTCATTCAAGAAACGTGACTAACTATAGTAAAAACTACGAATTCAACACGATCGGACGACCAACATCTTGCAATCTGGGTGTGATGGAAAATGCATGCAAGTCCAAGGCATTATAGTATGTATGTCTACAACTTGTATAGCATTGTACGATCAATTGTTACCTATCTCCAGTCGGGTTAAACGGCGCTCTTACCCACTAGTATACTCACTTCAAACTCGACAAACTCATATTGACATTGTTTACTACACGTAGAATCACTAATGAATATTGGCAGATCGACTCAATAGAGCAATATTGAAAACAGTCTTGGATATTGGGCTCACCTTGTGTGAGGAGTCGTGATATTTCGAATGATGAAATTTCAACAGAGTGGATAGAAAATTGAAGTGAAGTATATTTATAGCAGCCTGATCATCGGCGGGACAGTATTTTCGACAGCGGAATCCTCAGTAGTCTCGACAGCGGAATCATCAGGAGTCTCGACAGCGGGAGCCTCAGTAGTCTCGACAGCGGAATCATCAGGAGTCTCGACAGCGGGAGCTTCAGTAGTCTCGACAGCGGGAGCCTCAGTAGTCTCGACAGCGGGAGCCTCAGTAGTCTCGACAGCGGGAGCCTCAGTAGTCTCGACAGCGGGAGCCTCAGTAGTCTCGACAGCGGGAGCCTCAGTGGTGTCACTGCATTCTATTGGCTCACCTTCGCAGTCGTCAAAATCGGAGTAACAAAGACTTTCCCCAGTATTGGCTATGCCGAAACATACTGACGGAGCCAACCAAGTCTTGCAGTAAGACCCGGAATCAGAATCCCGGCAAGGCCCGAACTCATTACAGATCTTCATGCATACTTCAGTAGTATCGACCGGAGCTCCAGTGGTCTCGGCAGGAGCCTCAGTGGTCTCGGCAGGAGCCTCAGTAGTTTCGACAGAAACCTCAGTGGTGTCGATTGGAGCCTCAGTGGTCTCGGCAGGAGCCTCAGTGGTCTCGGCAGGAACATCGGTAGTTTCGACAGGTGCCTCAGTGGTCTCGATCGGAGCCTCAGTGGTCTCGACAGGGACCTCAGTGGTCTCGACAGGGACCTCAGTGGTCTCGACAGGGACCTCAGTGGTCTCGACAGGGACCTCAGTGGTCTCGACAGGGACCTCAGTGGTCTCGATCGGAGGCTCAGTGGTCTCGACAGGAACCTCAGTGGTCTCGACAGGAACCTCAGTGGTCTCGACAGGAACCTCAGTGGTGTCGATTGGAGCCTCAGTGGTCTCGGCAGGAGCCTCAGTGGTCTCGGCAGGAACATCGGTAGTTTCGACAGGAGCCTCAGTGGTCTCGATCGGAGCCTCAGTGGTCTCGACAGGGACCTCAGTGGTCTCGACAGGGACCTCAGTGGTCTCGACAGGGACCTCAGTGGTCTCGACAGGGACCTCAGTGGTCTCGACAGGACCCTTAGTGGTCTCGATCGGAGGCTCAGTGGTCTCGACAGGAACCTCAGTGGTCTCGACAGGAACCTCAGTGGTCTCGACAGGAACCTCAGTGGTCTCGACAGGAGCCTCAGTGGTCTCGGCAGAAGCCTCAGCGGTCTCGGCAGGAACATCGGTAGTTTCGACAGGAGCCTCAGTGGTCTCGATCGGAGC